AAGCCCCAATGAGTAACTCAGTTCTTCATTGTCCTGGGCTCTTCAAAGGCATCTGAGGCCCTGGATCACTCTCTCTCCTGAAATTTATCCTTCTGCTCTGAGTTCCAGACCAATACAGATCTTCAGGTATGCTCACGCCTTGGTAGACAGCCATCAGTCTCACTTCTCACTGCATCTCTTCTTCCTGAATAAGTTTGGAAACCCCACCTTCCCAGAGATCAGTCACTGAAACTCTTCTTTTTTCCTCCTCTGTGACCTCATGCAGTCATGAGGCTGGCTGAGAGTGTCAATGTGTTGGGCTTGGGGGCCAGCAGGGCATGGGGTGGGCGTCATTGCTGGGAGTGCTGAGCAGGAGGTGGAGGTAGGGCCTTGGCCACTGTGTCCGGTCCTTACCCCTCTGGCCCTGCCTCTCTGCCCTGGCAGCTGTTAGCCCAGCAGCTTTGCTCCACCAAGCACTTCTGCTGTGAGGTCTGCTTGGAGTCAGCCTGCCATGGTCTGAATACCCGGAAGCCATCACCAAGGTTTGCCTCTCACCTGCAGGCTGCAGGTGCTGTGTGCTGCATCTTCATGACAAGAATGCTGCCCAGTACATCTTTAAGCATCATCTATTTCTGGAGAATTCTAGATGTGTGTGTTTAAAGTGAGATTCTTTTGTCCCTACTCTCTCAATGCTTAACATCTTTATTGTGAGACTTCCCTCTAATCTTAAAATTAGGTTGCGTAAAGCAAATTTTCTATCTTTACCATGAATACTCCTCTTTCTCTGGCTTTCCCCATTTAATAAATGGCACACCAATTTCCCAGTTGCTCAGACTGAAACTTAGCACTCTTCTTTGATGCCTCTCTTTCCCTTGTACCTCATGTTCGAGCCGTTATCCCATAAAGTCGGTCTTGTAACCTCATGTACCCAGATTCTACGGCTCATCCATCACCTCTGTCAGGACACTTGAAGAGTCACCTGGCCAAGGCAGCTCTCCCCACGTCCTGTTATCCATCTAAAATTCAAATAATAACACTTCGTAAGTATTACATCTCACTTATAGAGAATTGGATATAACACTTTATGACTGAGAACAACCAAGAAAAATGTTTATAACCTTCTAACATCACCCCAAATGCAGTTAACACAATGCAGAAGTGAGAAATTACGTTAGGAGAAGGCACACTTCAAACTACAAAAGTAGCGCTGATTATTTGACTTTGCTCCTTAATATTAACAAGCAATTTGAGTTTGAGAAAGGTTTGCTTTTCTTACGCAGTAGCTTTCTAACCACTTACCACCTCAGAACATCTGTTTGCATAATAGTTCTTGCACTGTTCTTGAACTAAAATGTCAATTAGCACATAATATTTAACATTTTTAAACACTGTCAAACTTGAGATTTGTTCATTATTTCTCCCTTTCTCTGTGCTGTTACAATTTTCTTCTTTGAACTACTCATCTTCCTGCCGGCCAACTAATTAATGGTAAAGCACCGAGTACACGCTCAGCCCAAGGGTGCTACAGCGTCTATGAGTTCTGACAATCACTCCCTAACATTTTATACCAGTGCTGTAGACAGCAGATTGCAAAAATTGGAAGCAGATAGGGGTGTTTATGCCAAGATTTAGACCCCAGAAATGTGATTGTCTTGAGGTCCAGGACTTCAATGTATTGTGATGATGTGGGAAAGTGTATTGTTTACAAGTATGTTTAAAATCTTTAGTGTCAAGCAAACACATAATAAAAAGTAAAGAGCTTTCTCAGTGTATAATTTGAAGTTGCAAACCATTGGAACTAGTCTACCCTGTGCCAAAAGAAAAATCTACTTTATGGAGGTCTGTTTGTCTAATCTCCAGAAAATCAGCTAAGCGACAATCACACAAGTATCAGGGACCAGAGGAGCTGGAAAGGTCTAGACTGCAGAAGTCTCTGATGTTTGGCTGCATAACCTGAGTGTGCTCCAAGCCCCTTTTCTCATGCTGTGTCTCTCCAAGGGAGAGCTGTGTGCCAGTGTGAACATGCCCGTTGTCCAGGAATTGATCAGCTGCTCTGCCCTCTAGAAGGGAGCAGGGCCCCAAGTGCACAGCACAGAGTAGAGGAGGCTCCCCAAGGAAGTGGGGATGCTGCCACCCAAGAAGGAAGCTGCTGATTGTACCAAGACCTGTGAGCATCCCCCTCTGTCTTCTTGGAACTTGTGCTTTGGATGAAGGAGTAAATAGCCAATCAGTGTTATTCAGTGGGTGTTCTTTATCAGGTTTTATTCACCTTGGCACTCAGCATCGTGGTTCTCGCCAGCACATTTCAGCATTCCCACACAACCCATCATGCATTGTGTCTTTATTGTAGTTTTTGTTAAAATAATATATAGACATGCACACACACACGCACACACACACACACACACACACACACACACACACATGTATGTTGGGCATATGAAATGTTTGGCTGTACTGGGGGGTCAAGCCCAGGGCTTTGAGCATGGAAGGCAGGAGCCATCCTGCTGAGCTCCATCTTCACCTAGATTATTTCAAAATCTTTTTTCTTTCTTTCTTTCTTTCTTTCTTTCTTTTTTTTTAGATTCATTTTCACTTGAACTTCAGATTGCTTTAGTCCTTTGCCACACTGGAATACCTGAGAATTTGTTATTTACAAAAAAGAAAATTATTTCTTATAGTTCTGGAGCCAGAGAAGTCCAAAGTCAAGCAGTAGTCACTGGGAGGGTCTATGTGGTGGGGGAGGACTCTGGTGGTTCCAGAGGTGGCAAATGGCACCAGGACATGCTCAGAACAAGCTGCAGACAAACCTCCTTCTTAGCAAAGCCACCCTCTGGCTTAATCCTCCAAAGCTCTTCCAATTCAGTCACATGTCAAGGGGCCCACACCCAAACCCAATTAGCATATAATTTCTTAAGTCACAGGTCCAACATGAGAATTCTTGGGGGAAAACTTAAACCATGGCATGAGTTTAGAAGGCAATATAGCGGTTAGCATTTTTTTGCATGGTACTGTAATGCTACCAAATGTTTTCTTGACCACCATGTGCATTGGTGATATTCATTAGGTAACCCTTTCCCACATAGAATGTCCTATAAATTAATAACATAAAACACTACTTAAGTCATATAAGATGGAAAGGACTGTTAGGGTTTTCTCAGATTCTTTCTAATTTCACTCATGTGGCATTGCTTTTGACAGTTTAATAAGTCAAAACTAACTAACAACTAATTTGAGATCCTTTCTTTTTAAGTCCACATAAAAGTATTCTTGCATGATTGTTTCTGCAAAAAAATGAAAAAATCAGAGAGTATAAGGAATACTTAGGCCCCAGGAGTCTTTAATTTCTCACAGCACTTACTGAAATGTTTGAAGCATCTTCCCCCCACATCAAGCAACTCCCACCTTGCAGTGCATGACACCTTATTAATTAACTGGAGTTTGATGTTATCTAGAGAAAGGCTCATCTCATCTCACAAATTTTTGTGTCAATCTCATAAGACTACTCCCCACTTCGAATGCAAATTTGAGATTATCACTACCCCTGTCAGGTTCAGGAATTTCTCAGGGGAGCCACTACAACCAGAAAGTTGAAAGATCCAACTTTCTATGTTCCTGGCTACCAGACCTCAACATACTTGCTGGTTTTCCAGAAGTACTTCATGGACACAAATGCAGTTATGGCTGAAAAAGACTTAGGAAGAACAGCAGTCCTCCACTCACGCTTATGCATACTATTGAAACATTCCAAGAGCCTTAGAAAACCTGGGCCAAGACTTAGAAGGGAGAGTGTTAGTTTCTTGATCTAGATCACAGAGCGTGTAAGGAATACTTAGGCACGAGTATCACGCATATATACTGTCCAAGCTTCCAATACAAACTGTAGCTGATGGGATCAGACATCTTCTGATTTGCCATGGGTTTTAATCTGTTTTTAATAAATGTTATATGCAAAAATGTAGGAAGTAGCTGAAGCTGGAAATTGGTCACACACATGAGGAGGGGGCAGGTCTGGGAAGAAGAGGGCCCAAGGCAATCAATCGGCTTCAGTCCTGAGAAAACACCTTGCCTGAGACAATTCCAGCCATTAGTTGCTAGGCAACACTGTCAGGTGAAACTAACTTCATCAAATGTACAAATAAATGTCCCTGTGGTGGTTGAGCAGTTCCCTTTCTCCCATCAGAGGGTTCCACTTGACCCCAGCTTTTGTCTCGTACCTTCATGTCTTCATCCTCTCAACATATGTCCCTGGAACACTGAGAGCTATATGGGCTGCAGCAGACAAAAGAGTCAATTTAATTTTTAGTGAACGGTTGCGTGGCTCATCTTACTCTTTTATTTTGAGAGCATTTCGATGTCCATCCTCTAGTGCCTGAAATAAGACCTGGAAATCATAGTATTTGGTAATACTGGTGAACAAATAAGCATATGTTTAAGTATAAAAATAAATGAATATCCATGCCAAATTCTACAAATGTTCAGTACAGTGTGGCTTGCTCTGTTGCTAATGTTAAATAGAAGGTTGTGGAAGATAAGAAGATAGCTTAGTGGTAGCATTAAATGATATAAGATATAGAACTCTGATATAAACATATTCAATTTTTAGTGAAAGTAAATCTTACCAAAACAAAACAAACTACACATAAATGATGGAAACAAAACATCTTACATGACAGCATTTTATGTACAATTATGTCTATGTCAGCATTAATACTGGAGACATAATTAAGATCTAATACCAGGGACCTTTGTAGAATAAAATATTTAAAATATACATAGCTTAGCCAGGCATGGTATGCACATCGGTCGTCCCAGAAATTGGGAGGCTGAGTCACAGGGGTTGCTGTGAGTTGAAGATGAGTCTGTATTACAGAGCAAATTTAAGGTCAACCTGAACTCTGTAGTGAGACCCTGTTTCAAAAAAAAAAAAAAAAAAAAAGACGCATGATTTAAAAAATAATGATGATGTGAGAGAAACATTTGTAAATACGTTGTGAAAAAGCATGATTAAAATTATCTTGATGCTCACTCCAGCAGCACATGTGCTAAAATTGGAACAATACAGAGAAGATCAGCGCAGCCCTGCACAAGGGTGACACGCACATTCAGGATGAATTCTATATTTTTCAAAAACAATTATCTTGAAGCTACTGATATTCAATAAATAGACATACATATTCAAACACAAACAAAGGGGATGGAAAACCCATAAATCATTAAAAATGTTTCTCTCTGTCAAAGGGATGCAGATATCCTTCATTTAATTTCCAGTATTTTGTGTATTTGCCTAAATATTTATAATGAGCATATGCTGCTGATAGGAAAAGACAGCAGAGAAGCATTCTAAAGCAAATAAACATTGACAATTTTAATTACAAGCTAGGAGCTCCTCAAATGGAAACTGATTGTCTGCAGATGATAGCAAAGCCTTTACTGCAAACCCCCAAGGGCTTTGCTATGATTCACTGGCTGGGCTCTCCAGAGTTCCAAACAGTGCCCCTGCCTGCCACTGCCACCTGGGAATTGAAATCTTCTGACATTAAATTGGCAGGAACACTAGGGAAAATCCAACATCATTTTATTTTTATGTGTATTAGTCATTCATTTAAGTGAAAATAAAGTCATCATGTACAAAATATGTTCCTATCTTTGAAAATAACAAAAAACATTTCAACTAAATATTCAACTATGTACTGTAAAACATAAAATTTTCAAAAACTACCTTAGTCAGTTTATACAATCTTATACCCTAAAATCATTTAGTTATATCTGAATAAAATAAGGTTGAATATTTTTCTGCATATATATGGCTGTCATAACCTCTGTATGCTCATTTTATTGATAAGGGTGTATTTTTTATTATACTGATATTTTTTATTATACTTCACCCTCAAACACCAATCCTTGGGCAGTTTGTAACCCCTAAGTTACAAAACAGTTTATTCAAGTTGATCAGAATCATTCTCAAATACGTTAGTAGTTTTCTTCTACAAAATCTATACAACAAGAAAAAAATGACATTGATAAAAACACAAATAACATACTTGTAAAATAATAGGACTGCTCCATTCTGCCAAAGGCAGGACAATTTGACAGTGTAGATTTTCTTTCCCAATCTCTTTCCTTTCCTAGAAATATTGCAAGAGTCTTAAGAAGTGTGTTGTGAAGATTTACAGCCCATGAGAGGGGGAAAAAAAACCCACTTTGGCAAAAACACAAATTTTCAGAATAGCATCAACTTTGGACTTCTGTTTTAGAGGAAGATTTTGAAATTGAGTCAATTTCTGTCAGATTCTCCAGTGTCTTTATATACTATAAATCCTAATAAAAATCTCTCAACTTTCTCTTGACACAGATCTGGTAATTAATATTCATGTACAACTTAGAAATATTTTTTTCCTGCTATGGACAGCCATCTGCTGACATTTTGACTCAGAGATTTACAGTTTCAGACAATTGGTATCTAAATGAGTTGTGACAGCTGGAAGAAAAATTACTGTTTTAAAATTTTCTTTCATATGTCAAATCATTTCATTACTTAATTTTCGGCGACATTTTTAATGACATTTTTCATCATGATAAAAGTAACACAATTCAGAAACTGGTCTTTTGACATGCAATATATTTTGACATAAATCAAAAGGCCTATTAAGTCTTCAATCACACATCATAGGCTTCTGCTTCATTGTTTCTTTCTCACTAGGTATCTACATTATGTAAGGGGTATTCAAAATGTTTTAAACCTCTAATCCTTCTAAAGCAGATGGCTGTTGGCTATTTATTTTGTAACAGATTATAGAGATTTTGTATACCAGAACTGCACAAGAACACAGCTATTTGAAAAGTCACTCTAGCACAAGGGTATCTAGAGGGAGAGTTAGGTGCAGCCTCCATGCCAGCCTGCACCTCCTAGCATTTTACAGCAGCCAGGCTGACATGCAGGGTGGGGATCTGAGAGTAGGACTGTGTGTAGATTCACAGCCTTGAATTTGGGTCATAGGTGACTCTAAGATCGAGTATAGCAGCACTAAAAAAGGCTTCCATGAAAACTCTTCAGTTGTTGTGAGGGAAAGTACACTTTGTAAAAATGTTTTTAAAAATGTCAGTAGGATCATATAAAGTGACAGAGAAGTATACACCATTTATTATACTCCAAACTCTGATCTATATGCTTTATGTGAGATAAATTAATTAATCCACAAGATGTAGCATAGATAGGTGGCACCCTTGTTTCCAGGGTTATGGTAAGAGAACTCAGGGCCAGAAAGACTTAGATATTTTCCAAGAGCATAGACAAAAAAAATTAAAAAAAAATTTTAAAAAAATAGCTAAGACCTGAGTTCTCGCATCTTGAGTGCAGAATTTTCTTTTCATCACTAATAATTATTAGTTTCATTTTCTACATACTTTATTGTAAAAAGAAAAAGATATCTAATCCCCTCAGAGCATGTATAAGCCAACTTACTTTTATCACTCATAGATGTTCAATTTCTTTTCTTCTTTTCTGTATTTAGGACATGGTCTCCAGGGTCTTACTACATAGATCAGACTCATGGTGATTCTCCTGTTTTCAACCTTCCAAGTGCTGCGATTACAGGCACGCGCCACCACGCCTAGTCTCAGGCCCCATCTCAGCGAGCCTCAGAGGTGGGGCTGGCAGTGCATGCCCAGGATCAGCCTCTGCTGCTGCGCTCTACCTAAGCAGGTGCTTCGGTCCACTGAGCTAACAAGCTGGCTAGATATTCAATTTCTTAAACTCCATTTATTTTTATACTAAGCTACAAACAAAAGAAAAGTCTATAAAATAAGTGAAAATGAAATAAATGTAAGTAAGAAGTGAAGTCAGGTATAAGCACTTCAGATCTTTTCTCTTTGTTTCCGAATAATTTTTTGAGTTATCTAAAACAAAGTTGATACATAAAACCTTAGGGCTACAAAATCAATTTGTTTGATTAGACTCAGGGGAAAATAACAGTTACCTTCCTGTTCAATAGAACTTTCTTCTAGATGTTTTCAAGGTAAAGGAGTTTGATTTTCTAGGTTATGAATGAAACTACTGCAAGTAAGCATCAACCAGTAGGGATTTTTGAGCATGCATGGGCCATTTGTCTAATATACATGATTTTTGTAATGAAAACATGCAGGAATTTTAAATGTATCATTTTATAGTTTATTTTGATAACATTACATAGTTACTAAAGGGTAAATTAGCAGATTATCATGTGACAATGTGCCAACATTTCAAGACTTTCTTTTTTTTCTTTTTGTATTTTAGGGAAGGGTTTACAGGGTGTTCAGGGTCTCACTACTAGATTGGATTTATAGTGATCCACCTGTTTACAGCCTCCCAAGAGCTGGGATTACAGGTGCGCGCCACCACGCCCAGTCTCAATTGCCATCTCAGCGGCCCCCGGGGGTGGAGCCAGCACACCAGGCCCAGGAACTCCCAGCCCCTGTGCCTGATTGTAGGTGCTTTAATCTGCTGAGCTATTTGGCCGGCCCCTTAGAAGACTTCGTACATAGCATTTGAAGTTATTATTTTAAGTGCTTGAAAACATCTTCTGAGCCACCAACTTCTAAACTCTGAGTGTTTTCATTAGCTTTTACCTGAAAAGCTTGAATTCTGTTTTATCAAGTATATAACTGGCCTGAATGTGATGGGAGTTTTCAGGCCAACAGGCATGTAGTGCTCTAAAATATTCTTATATCAGGAAGTTATTTAAAAGAGTCACATAGATTTTATTCTGAAAAACTAATGTATTTTTAGAGTCCTTCCTGGAGCAGTTAAAATTTAATCGCTTATGTCTTTGAGACTTTGATCATTCTAGAACAGAAGATACTGGGATACTGTAAATCTGTAAGATCCTTGAATTAAATTTAATTTGCAGGTCCACCAGCATTGTTCAGTCGGACTGTAAACCAATCACACCCCAATTAATCTACTTTAGAAGTATCCAGTACCAAAATCAACCCATGTCTGACCAAGAGTCTGAACTTCAAGCAATAAAAACTGAAGAATTTAAGAACCATCAGGGCTGGAGAGATGGCTCAGTGGTCTAAAGCACCTACTTAGAACAAGCTTAGCAAAGCATCAGGGACCGCGGTTCAATCCCCCAGCACCACATGCCAGCCAGCCCCGCCCCCTGGTGGGCTGAGCTGGCCACACACACACACCACACACATTCACTCTCTCTTTCTTTCTCTCTCTTTCTCTCTCAAATAAATAAAACAATTTAAAAAAATTTAAATAAAAAAGAACCATCAAACGAAACAGAAATTTACATTTTGTTACATGCTTTACAAAAAGAAACTATAATGCCTATTCAAAAGTGAAAGAAATAAAAGTATAGATATATCAACACTTCATCAGATGCCTAAGAATGGTAAATTTAGGAATATTCACTTTAAAAAGAGTTTGTGACTTTTCAAATCTCCAATGTACTTAAAGATTTTTAATTAATGCAATAGTCATATATATTTATAATGTCCAATGTGATAATTCAATACGTGTAAAATGTGTAATGATCTTTTTAAAATAATTGACATTTCCATCTTGGTAAACATTATTTATATATATTGGGAAAGTTCAACCTCTATTTTCCTAGTTCTTTAGAGAATATGTAACAAATTTTTGAAAACCTGTATTCTGCCTATTGTACTGTACAATACTGTAGAAGCTTTTCCTTGTAGCTATTCCTGTTCTGGTTCCCATGATTCAACTTCTCTCCGTGCGACCCTTCCAAACCTCATGTCTGCTCTTCCATGCTCTACTTCAATGAGATTGACGTTTTAGCCTTTATATATAGGTAAAAAATTGCACTCTCACTCTTGGTGCAAAATGCGTTCTCAAAATATATCTAATCATACACGAAAACTAGTAGCATAAACAAGTTGGGCCATCCAAATAGTTCAGCGGGGTGATTTCTACTTGCTGCGAGCTGCATTGGAACGATCCGAGGAGACCATAGGCGCAAACACAATGGGGGCAGTGACCTTGGAGGATGCTCTTGTGAACTTCACCCTGGAAGAGTGGGCTGTGCTGAATCCATCTCAGAAGAAGCACTACAGAGAAGTGATGTGGGAAACATTTATGCATATGACTGCTATAGGAATGACCTGGGACAACC